ACCACCAGCTGTCTCAGGAGGACTTTTGAAACAGGAAAAGTTTCTGTCTGATATCACGAGGTAACAGATGTCCACCAAGGAGGACGAATTGTCTCACTTTGATCATTCGGCCTGTCAGCTCCTTTGCAGCAATCCAAACGCTGTGATTGAGAGTTTCAGTGAGATACTCTCATCTCACAATTGCTGGCAATTAAGGAGATGAGCTTCGAGTGGCCGATAAGATCTCCATCTCATACCAGATGATGGGCGCTTCCGCAGAGGAGGGAAAGACAAAAATGAGGGGAGATAGAGGGAGTGAAAGATGGAGACAGAGGAGCAACATATAAGACAGATCGTGTGCAAAAATGGAATAAAAAGAATGAGGAAATTCACTGCAATCTCTGCTCACCGCTGTCCTCCTCCAGTGAAAACACAAGTCCATGTGGCAGGGTTAGTCATAGTGTCTCTGGAGGTGTCAGAGGAAAAATGTAGGATTGGGTCACAGGGGGCAAAGGTGATGGAAATTAAAAAGCTGTACTTTGAGGAGAAAGATTGGTTGCAATGAACGAAAAACTCCCTCCTAAAGAGAAAACAGCTTGTGGATCGATTTTCTAATCTGTTTCAGTCTGAAGCTGGTGATAAATTTAATTACTTTGTGCCATAAGCGCTCAACAACCACTCTGTCATCAGAGGTGTGAAGGTGGACGGGGGCCCTCCCACAGCCAGAACTGGACAGGACAGTTTAAAAACCACAAGGAGGGGCAAAGAGCCTCCAAACAACTGTACTGGTGTCGCATCATTGCATTGGTTCAGAAATCTTTTTTAACAAACTGGGTTTATTTTCACAGTTAGGAGAGACAGTCTGACCCAGAACCCAACAACTAACTTAATGCGTACAGACCGACAGACACACCGGCCTGACGGATTTTTGCTCATCACAGATACAGCTGTGTGACAATATGAGCAAATAAAGAATTAATTCAATGTTTCATAATACTTCACGTGTTTAATGCTAATTATATTTAAGATTACTTTGTTTTGTAAACTATTGAACTTTCATTAATATCCGTGTTGTTGTTCACTGATACTAATTCAATTCACAGTAAAGGTTACCATTTTAAATTCACTGTATTATTACTATAAAAATGTCCCACTAAGGCCACATCTTTGTTTCAATTCTTTAATAATTTAAAGGATAATTTAGGTATTTTTAATTTGGTCCCTATTTTGAGGTTGAAGTGACAATTAAGCAGAAAACATTTTGGTATCCGTGCAGTAGATGGCTTAAGCCGGCAGCTGCAAACCAACAACAGTGGTTGCAACATATTTCTTCGGGGAAATTGCACCTGTTAAAATTATGTCCACACAAAGTGCCACTTTTTGCCACTGACGGGCTCAGACCGTTACAGCAGGTGTCTGACGATATCCTAGACAGGATACCTACGAGTGACTCCTGGTGACAGGAAACAGCAGTCTCACTCAAGGACAATTCTCGCTCTGAAATCTCATGAGAAGTGAATTGTTCATTTGAGGGATCCTTATTAAAAAATTTGTTTTGGATTTAATTGGATTGTGACACCGAGAATCAGAATCAAATTAAATTATGCCTTACTACATTATAAAACCTGGTGTTCTGAAAATATCTCCAAATGTTTTTCACCTCTATGTCAGTTCACAAACGAACTTAATGACAAGAAACACCCTACACCGCGGTGAAACATGCAAAGGGTAACATCACTGCCAATCACCATCATATTTTGTATTACCGTCATTACAGTCACTGCCATCTTTTTCAGAGGGAACAGTGGACACAGCACAGCGCACTTGCCTTTATTAGCAGCTTTATTTTGCCTCGACATAACCAGTGATGACATGTATGGCCGCATGTCATCATTCCACCGCTGGCGAGCTGTCGAGCTGGTGTCCAGCAAACCATGTGGGCTTTGTAGATAATTGGCGGACTTTCTGGGCATACATCCCACTTTGGAAGGAGCGGCTCTCACATCTAGAAATCTGACCGAGGTTTATATGTGCACCAGAACCATGACAACCAGGAGGCAGAGTTGCAGTCCTGCACGCTTCTCTAATCTTCCATTAGAGCAATTACCCACCCAAAACCCCACAGCAATAGTATCTGTCCCCCAAACTAAATTAATTCAGTCAAAATCAAACAGAAGAGATGCGCTATTAAAGTGGTAGTGTTCATTTTTATTAGGTTTTTATGTACAACAATACAGGATAATTAAATGTGGACTGTCAAACATCAAAGCTCTGTCATCTAAAGCTGTACTATAAATGAACCTGGCTGGGCCATGAAGAATATGTTAGCCTAAATGAATCCACTGCCCCCAGTCATATTAATACTCCTTGACGCACCGGCCGAGGAGGTGGAGCTGCAGCTATTTTCAACTCAAGCCTATTAATGAATTCTAAACCTTAACCAAAGGTACTATAATTCATTCAAAAGCCTTTTTTTTAGGCTCTCACACCCAACCTGGAAACAGCCAATTCTATGGCTTCATAAACCCATTCATTGTTTTAACAAAAAAAAACAACGTTCAGCCTTATGGCATCGAAATTTCCACACAGTCCCTTTTTATTTGACCACTATGTAATAACTACTGAGTTCCTATTACTGAACTACACACCATGAGCCAAAAACTCCACCTATCTGATAGTGCTGTAGCTAAATTTAAGGAAGTGAATCCATCTGCATTTAATTCAATACCAGGTCTGAATGTATAAAGAATTCCATGCCAACTTCAGTCCCTCCTAAATTGATCATCTTGTTGATATTTGCAGTGACTCTGTTGTTAAAAAGGAAGATCATAAAACAAAGACAGTTTGCTCCATACAATAACCCCCAAACCCACAAATTAAAGCAAACATGGTCCCGCCTATTTGGAAGAATCTTGCTTTATCTGGCAAGATAGTCTTAAAACTTATAAGACGGCCCTCCGTAATGTCAGAGCAGCCTGTCTAACCTTCCATTTCTTTCTAAGAAATCAGGTGCCAATGAGTTGTGTGACTTTCTACAAAACAATAGTTCATATGAGGATTTAGAGTGCATCATAGCAGGGAGACAGCACTGGTAAAAATTACAAATTATCTTCTAATTGCATCAGACAAAAGACTTGTGTCTGTACTTGTCTTGTTAGAGCTTAGAATTAATCAGTCGGGTCGATTATCTGGCATTTTCAGATAACTGGCATCGGCCGATGCCTGCAATCACAAGGCCGATAAACAAATGTCTGCGGACACATCTGCAAGCACCAACTCCGAACAGAAGTTATTGGACTTGATCCCAAACACCTCCAAAACACATCATCTAAAGATTTAGTTAATCTAGATGTTTTGCACTGCAAAGGTTTTTATGCTCGCTCAAGGTGGGTCGTCTTTGTCGAAAAAAGAGTAAATGTGCTAATGGGAGATGGAAACACTTTTGCCGAATAAGTTCTGACGTAGTGAACTTGTAACTCATGTCTGATCAGCTGTTTCCGCTATAGGCGTCTTCCCGGATAATCTCATAACGCGAGGAGACATGGCTGGTAGCAAACTGCAGCTTGAAACACATGCTGAGGACCTCTCTCCTTTTTTCTAAGATCAATGGCCATCAGGTCAGTGGGACTGGTTTTGTTTCTGCTTTGGAACCCATACGTCTTGTTTATGCCATGTGTAACGTCAACGCTTTCCTTTGCCTAATTTATTCGCTCCAAACCAGCTGATGGAAACGCACAAATTTCGCATTTACTGTTTTTTTATTTTTAGTGACATTTCAAAAGTCTGCTGAAAATCCGCATGACAAATAGATGGAAACATGGCTACCGGCACATTTACCGTAATGTTGATAAATGTGTGCTGTCCTTATAAATAAATAGAAATAAAGTTACAATTATTTTGAATTTTGTAATTAATAACTGGATGAATTGTTTTTTAGTGTGACATGAATTTTCAATGCCAATTTATTTATTTATTTTTGTTTTAATTTTATTTTACTGATTACTGGCTGAAGCTTTTATCCAATTAAGTCATTGAAAGTGACTTGCAGTCGCTATATAAGTCAGAAGTCGCACGTCTCTGGAGCAACTTGGGGTTAAGTGTCTTGCTCAGGGACACATTGTGTCAGTGGGACTCGAAACCAGGTCTCTCACCCCGGCGCCATCATTGCCCCAGAATTAAAATCCAAATATTAAATTTAAAGCGCTGTAATTAGTTTTCATGCAAAAAGTGCACAGAACGTTTTACTTTTCTTGAAATTAAAACAGCATTGTGAGTGCAAAATGAAAAACAATCAACTGTCCAATCACAGTTGGCGGAGTTTATCAGTGCTGGCACTAGCTTATGACCGCCATGACAGACAGGTACTATTGACTGTAACTTTAGTCACATTTGTGATTGACCATCAGCTGTTTTAAAAGGAGTGGATTGTGCAGCAGGAAGATGGACAGACACTCTGTGACACTAAGCTCTACCTATGTTTTTTCTTGTTTTCTTGTTTGTATGTTTGTTATCTTGGCATGAACAACATGTCTCCATATCAAAATATAAAAAGCTCCCTTCGCACAAGCTAATGGAAATTAATGACATGCAATACACATCTTCACATTTTTTCTGTGTTGTGATTTAAAAACCAATCCATTCAGTTAAAGTTATTTTAAAAAGTCAATTGTTTTTCATTTAATGATGGCATAGTAAATGCATACATAAAAAGAAAATAAATTGTAATTTAAATATTTTATTTTACTTTTTTTGTTTGTTTAATTTATTTTTATCCATAAAACACTATTTCAAGAAAGTTTGACGATTATCTTGATAATACCTTTTATCGCGATATGTTGCCCACAATAATCTTAGCACAGAAATCTTAAACTGGCACATCCCTAACGAGAAGAGAGTCTCAATCCTCCAAACTCTGCCTCCAGTATTCTCTGGAGAACACCTGGATCCCCCTCTTACTTGTAAACATGTTTTTGTTTTTCGAAAAGGAGAAAAGAGAAGACTAGATATAAAAATTATCTTGCCTCATAGTAGCTCCTCACAGCGTTGCAGAAAGCTTCATCTGCCACAATCTGAGTTTCCCCGTTGAGAAAAGCCAAGAAACGCTCCTTCACCGCTTGCAGCTGCTGCTTGTTCACCTGAGAGAGGGAAGAGATCATGCAGGAGAAAAATGAAGCAAGGTACAAGGAGAGAGTTTGGGAGGAGAAATGAGAGGAAAGATGTTGGCAGAGGAGGGTGAAATCAATTAGAAACAGATGGGGCAGAAGAGGAGAAGATGATAGGAAGGCAGGATGGATGAGAAACAGAACAAAAGTACAAGATTAGACTCATTGTTATAGTGTGACAGAGTCTGACACTGTCATTACGAGATGAGAAGAGTCACATTCTCTAACAAACGCCTTTCATTAGGAAACCGAGTTCGCCCGAAACAACAGAAGAAGACAAATCTGTGTCAGTGTGGCTCGAGAAAGAAAGAGATTCTTAAAAAGGGACCATACTGAAGATTTAGCTCATTAACTACAAATTGCCGGTATTTGATTCCAATGCCAACATTTTTTAAAGTTATAAGATCAGTTTTGAACTTATTTTAAATTGAATTTAAGCCGGTTAATTTATGTGAAAATCATACAGCCTTTATATTTTTTGTTAAAGTTACATTATCGTTGCAGGGACTAGTGGTCAGTCTCCATAATAAGACATTTCATGTTGGTTTTTCCTTTAATGTGTCACCCCTCTAATTGATCACAGATCAAGAAAAAAAAAAAAAAAAAAGTATCTGCTTCCAGTTTCTCCGAAGTAAGGATTTAATGCTTCTCTCTTTTTTTGGACTGCTGGTTGGGTAAAACAAGATATTTGAAGATCTTGGGCTTTAGGAAATTGTGATGGTCATTGATTAATCACTCACCGATCCATCTCTTTATCTATCAACTATAATTAACTATGTAGTTTGGATAACAAAAACACTTTCCAGAGGAGCAATTCTCATTCAAGCAGAGCAGTCAGGCCAGGAAAAGAAATCACTCCCATAAATGTCATCGGTCCTGGTAATTTCTGCACCATAGCTGACATATTGTGTTGTATGAGCATTTTAAGTTTTCATGAGGGACAAAATCACCAGAAGCTGCTGCTCATAAGCTGCATATGTATGAGCCGTCTGGAGGACGGTGGCGTCAGGGGAAAATTAAACCATTATTCTTCCGCTTGTTGCAACACTGCCAGCAACAAATACATTCTAGAAGTCAAAGTGCCAATTTCCAGTAACACAAAGTGGGCAGCGACTTATCTCCTGCTGACAGCTTTTTGTGTGGGATTCCTTGCCTTTTCTGTGTCTAAATGGAGCCGCTGTGGTTCGCCTTTAACCACAGCGGAGGGTAAGGTGAATTTATGAAAAGCAGCAGGTTTGTGACTGTTCACATTCAGAATGACTCAACCTTCCATTAACAGGTGGAAAATGTAAGACAGTTCATTACAGATAAGGAAATTTCTGCAGAAGGCCAGTGCTGGAGTGAAATCTGGTACAAGTACGACAGCAGCCTATCTGATGAGATATTCATGCTAACATGAAAAGAAAGAAATGAGCGGCATCTGTGACTGTGCCGGTCACGCAAGTGAGCTTAAACCATAGCTAACAGACATCCAAAAGCACATGCTGGGAGCCGGGTTTGAAAAACCTGGAGAAAAAGCACTCACAACTGCAAGAGAAACCTGATGAGAGGAATGGCTCAGCATTTCAACTAGTTGGGACCCTACACAAAAGGATCCTTTAGAGCAGAGGTCGGCAATAGGTGGCCCGCAAGCCAGAACTGGCCTGCCAGCAATAATATCTGGACCGCAGCCAGATTGCTTTGATAGCAGGAAAATAAAACAATTGATAGCGGCTGCTGCTGAAATAGATCTCAATCATGGCAGCAACAGTTACATAATCACTTCCTCTTAAGTGATTTTGCCTCCAAAATAAAAGCGCGAGAACATTTTTGCAGCAATGCTTCATGTTGAGTTTATTGTGAGCTTTTACTTTAAAAAGTTCTGAAGGACATTCAACGGAGTCTCTAGCTTGCTTGACACATCAGTAGCCGTCAGTAAACATGTGATTGAATTACCCTGAATTTTCTCAGGGAAATATCGTCCATAGGTTTATGAATGCTGATCAAACGCTGGAACGCACACACACGCGCACACACACACACACACAGCAGCAGCACTTGCTTTATTGTGAGCATGTGCAAAAGTCTCCTTATAAATCAATTTGTTTAACAAGCGAGAAAAAAACAAAAAGGGATCGATCATTCAACTCTCCCAACGGGAGTCTCGCACTTTACAGACTGAGCTAAACGTGCACGTGAGTAACCAGGAGTTTGAAATAATTAGACCATGTTCTGGACTCATTTGCCGACCCCTGCTTTACAGAATGGGAGGACAGAGCATGTCAGGCAGAGTCAGACCTGTTTATAGATCTGATTCAACAAATTAGTTCATTGGAAAGCTCTGAGCTGAGAGAAGATAGCGTGATAAGACAGCAACCATAATTTGATTGATTTATAATACAGCTATACTTCTGGTACAGCAGTGGTCGTGCATGCAGATGTTAACGCTGGGTTTTAGTTACTCTTGTGCAGCTGGCTACATTTACATAGAAGATCCTTTTATTGGCATAAAAAATGACCAACCATAATTCGCAGCTTTGACATGACAAGCTGTCAGAGAGGTAGCTCAATTTAACAATAAGATGATAAAAGGGAAGAACTTTCAAGGACTCAATGTCTTTCAAGGACAAAATGTTGAACACTTTTCAGACAAATTGCTTTGTATTGTAGAAATATTATACAGTGGAGTCCTGGTTGTGATTTACTTTTCCAAAAATGATTTGTATTTTTAATTTTCAGAGCAGATATAGGGGTGCAAAATGTGCTTCCTTGCCCTGAATAGAAAAACTCTGCAACAAAAAAATAATTTCCTGTTCTGAATCCCTTTTTTTTTTTTTTTTTTTTAAACTGAATTTGAGAGCCTCTTTCTCTTTTTCACCATCTTGTTTCAGGTGACTGCAGCAGTAATGGCTTTCCTCGTACAAATGGATCCTGCTCATGAAATGAGGGGCGACAACCGGTAAAGATGCTGGATATGCACTGTGAAAAGCGGCCTGTGAGGTTTCAGTTGAATTATTTCTGTTCGTGCTTCCCCATCTCCCCGGCTTTGTGCAGAAAATTCATTTATCCGGGAGGAGTGGGGGTCACACACAAGGAGCACCTTTGCTCAGAAAACATACAGGTAGGGGTGTCATTTTCCACTTATGGAAGTCGCTCTGCATGCTACACTCAAATTGCTGTTCTTCTAAAACCCTTGTGCCGAGTAGAGACACTCTGAGGTCAGCAAGTCAACATCTCTGAACGTTCGTGGAGCGTTTGCTCTCAGAGCAGCTTTGAGTGAGCAGAGTAGATTAGCTGCGTCGGTGATGTATTGTTTCTTGATGTTTCTTTACCCCAGTGTCTTGATAATGACAAACAGCAGAGTGGGTGGTAATGTTTGAACAGTGGATAAGACACATGCCTTTGGTGTGAGAGACCGTGGGTTTGATTCCCGCTGCAATACATTGTGTCCCTGAGCAAGACAATTAACCCCTCTGCTCCAGAGGCGTTTGACCTCTGACATACAGCAGTTGGAAGTTGCTTTGAATAAAAGCATCAGGTAAATGAGTAATTATTATAATTACATTGCCAACATAATAATGTCTGAATTTTGACACCAACTAAAAAATTACCTTTTTACTATGCAAAACCTCAATTTCATCAGCGTTTAATGTTGTTGAAATACAAACAGCGATACAAGAACGCCTGTATGTAAAAAGTTTAAACAACACATTAAAAGGGACTATATGTAAGTTTTTCAATGAAATTAATAACATTTTCATTGCCTTATTGTCAATGGGCTTAAAACTCACTTAGAAATGAAGCACACACCTGTTTTCTCTGTTGCTTGCATCAGCCACTATTCTGTTTTTAATGCGAGGACACCGGGTCGTATTCAGCTCTGTGCACGCTCTCGAGCCTCTCTCGTACTACAGCGACCACACGGCAGCTAACGACATGGAGTTCACTAACACCATAAAACAACCGGCTCACAACAAAACACAAGCTCCACGTAAGGATACAAAACAATAAAGGTTTATGTGCCGAAGCCCATCAGAACAAGGTTCAGATGATGTCGAGTAAGAACAAAGTGAGCATTAGTAAAGCTGGAGAAACAGAGAAAGTCACGTTAGCTGACAGCGAGCAGTTCCCAATGTTATCCAGTGCACAGTTATCGCTTTCCACATTCCTTCACCAACTAACGCAACCCATGTTACTATCCTGTGTACCACTGTTGATTTAGCCTGCAAGAAAGGATGTAATGGTAAAAAGCAAATGTGGAGTGATTTGTTTACTAACGTTAGCTGGCTGCGTCACTATAGGCTAACGATACAGTTGCAGTAGGTGTTTACTTGAGTTTCTAGTATTTTGTGTGAAGCTGTCTCCCTGCCTGTCTATAGCCGCTGTCACTATGCCTTTTTTCCGGGAGGATTGTGCCGATATGCGTCTCGCTGCGTTGAATGAAGTAACATTACGGAGCCGGTGTTGATCTGCCTCTGAGACAAGAACGTTGAAGTAACAGAGCCTGATGTCTGTGTGAAAAGCCACAGCCTGCGTGCAGGCGTTCCTGCGTTTATTGCAGGATTTCTGTATGAAAGTGGTTGTGTTTCGGGATTATGCTCGCTCCTGAGTTCAAGCGAGCACGTGTAGGAGCACACGCCTGGTAGCAATCTTAAAACCGCACCGCTAGTGGCCGCTGGAAACTCCATAATGCCCCTTTAATAAGACACTTTACTGAAATTATAATTAATATTTCCTGGTTGCCATGTGTCCATGATTTGACCTATTGTTTTGTTTTTTTAAATTGTAGTTTTAGATCTACTATTTTCAGAATTTGGTGGCTTTCAGTGGTGTAAACAGGAAGTATAATATTGCCATGGAGTCTGTGAGTTAACTGTGAGCTACAACGGTGAGCCCTGTTGTTAAAGCCTTTATTTCTGTACATTTTGGAAAGTGTACACTGACTCTTTATAAGCTCCATAAGAAACGGACTTGATAAAAGTGGATTTAGTAGT